TCTGGCACGCGCTCTTTTGAGTTATGTGCACACACACACACACACACACACACACACACACACACACACACACACACACACACACACACACACTTTACTGATAAGATAAAACATGAAATGATGCGTTGCATTGATATTTGACAGTGACGTCTAATAGTCCCTTCCGTCAGTGTGCGCTTTCATGCTCCGATGCACAAGCACACAGTCAAAAACATTCACACATTCTTTTGTGCGGCTGCAGACAAGGACCCATAAAGCACTTGTCAACTTCTCACTGTTCTGACATCCCGCGCACACCCCCCATATCATCATTTCATTTCATTTAATGGAGAAATATTCAGGAAATGGTGTATGCATATTTGGTGTTTCTGCCCAGCCATCAAATGTGAGAACAGAAGCCCTCAGCCATTTTGCTTTGAGGGTGCGGATTGTTAAGTGTTTCTCTGTTTGTGTGTGTCATCATTAGGCCTGGACCACTATAGGCCGGAGGTATACGAGCACAGCAAGCGCCTCCTACTGCACCTCCTCATAGCGCTATCGTGTAACAACAACTTCCAGGTGAGGGACGGAGGCTTCCTCTTCCTCTACCACCTTCCACCTTCCACCTTCCCAAAGTCTCCCCCTCTTCTCTTTTTCCTCCACTTGCTCTTCCTCCTGTACCTCTTCCTGTTCGACTTCCAGCTTCTCCTCCACCTCCCCCTTCTCTTCCATCTTCTTCTCCACCTAATCCACTGCCCTGTCTTCCGGCATTCACCTTTTTCCTACTCATCTTCCTCCTCGTTCTCCACCACCTCTTCTTACCCCCCATTCCATGTGCTTCTCTTGCTCCTTATCCTCATCTTCCACCACCTCCACATCTCCGTCCTCCTCGACTCTCTCCTCCTCTTCCTCTTCCGTCTTCCACCCCCTCTTCCTCATCACTATGTTGCGATCTCATTGCAGGTGATCGCCTCCGTGTTAATGTTGACCAGAGAAAGCAGTGACAACAAAACTCTGACCATCAAGTCCAGCTATCACAACGACCATCAGCACTCAAGTAAGACCCTTCCTGTCCATCCTCGTTCCCCTGACTGCTAACTACTAATGGCCCACGCTTGTTTCCCGCGGATGGACAGACGTGCCCGATTTCCTGCGGGAGTGCCAGGCTTCACCCATGGTCGACTCAGGCCTCGGCTCCATGTCCAACTCATCTTCGGTTAGCCTGGCCGGCGGTAGCACAGCAGGCAGCGTGGGCAACCTGCCGCTGGTTACGCCAGACGACCTGGAGGACCTGGAGGACACGCCCCACGAGACGGACGAGAAGACCAACAAACTCATTGAGTTCCTCTCCACAAGGTATGTGCACAAAGCTACTTTTTAAGATTTTCTCATAGATTTTCAAATAAATAAATAGAGAGTGAGAGAGAGAGAGAGAGAGAGAGAGATTAATACGACCTGCAACAACAACATGTCAACTTCAAAAATCCAAAACATGATAAAGTACAATTTCTATTTTACAAAGTAAAAACTAAGTCTCTATTTTTTAGAAGCAGTTTTGAAGGTGTCCATTTGACCTCCCACATCACATAATGGGGGGTTCAAAAGTGCATGAAGTGTCCCTGACCTAACGTGGTGTGTGGTGCTATCGGTGGCGGGTGTGCAGTGCCTGGAGTACTGTGTTGTTATTGCTCAGAGCCTTGGGGCCGCTGTGGGTGCATGAGGACATCACGCCCAAAAACCCAAACTCGAAAAGCACCGAACAGCTCTCCAACTTCTTGCGCCACGTCATCTCTGTCTTCAAGGAGTCAAAGTCAGGTGAGGGTAGACGTCACAACTGCAATACAGAATTGCATTCAAGGTAATGTTCAGTAAAAAGTAAATAAGACATCTTTTAACTACAAAAATGGGTCCACGTAAACCTTTAAGAGACTCCAACAGTAGAAGCATTGAGTAGGCATGTGAACTTGTTTTTGTTGTGCAGACTTCCACCTGGAGCAGCAGCTTAGCGACGTGGCGTTGCAGACGGCGTTGTGCAGCTCATCTCGCCACTACGCCGGCCGCTCTTTCCAAATCTTCCGGGCGCTCAAGCAACCCATCAACAACCACGCCGTGTCCGACTTGGTCTCTCGCCTCGTTGAGGTGGTGGGCGAGCACGGCGACGAGGTGCAGGTGAGGCTACCTCCACTCCAAGGAAGAAAAAAAAAAAAAGACTTCCATCGCCTTGTTTCACAAGATGTTTTGTGTCAGGGCTACGTAATGGAGGTTCTGCTCACATTGGAATCGGTGGTGGTTAACCTGGCAGAGTGTCTGAAGAACAGCGACCTCATGGCGGCGCTAACCAGGTTAGCATCTGCTCTTTACACTTTATGGACAAAAGTGTAATGATAAAATCATAACATGCCAACCGTGGGTATGATAAGTTCTCAAAAGGTTGTAACCTGACAAATAGAACGTGCTGTGGTTGTTACTTCCAATGAAATTTGACCATATGTTAACATGCTAAGGGCTGGTATCCGCACACAGTGTTTTTCAACATGCTAAAAGTCAGTATCTTCATACAAAGCAAGATAGCAATCAAACAAGAGAAATTGCTCAGGCTGATTTTCCCTCACGTCGTCTGCTATTATTTTGAAATGATTCTTTCTGAAATGCTGACACGCTAACAGTTGTCATGCTACTTTTAATCCTTCCAGAACCTCATCACCTGACTTTGTGCTGAGTGACAAGCTGATGAACCGGAAGAGCACGGGCCAACTTAACTTCCCCGGCCCGGGGTTGGCGGGCCTGTCATCTCAGCGCCACCAACGCTCCTACTCAGTACCCAAGAAGTTCGGCGAGTGCGGCTACCAGTCCAGCGACCCCCCTCGCAGTGCCACGCTGGACCGTATTCAGGTAAGAATTGTTTGTTAAATTGTAAAACTTGAAAAGTTCGTTAAGATAACATCAAGTTCTACATATGTGTGTGTGTGTTTTGATAGGCCTGCAACAGTCATGGCCTGGCACGGCTGGGGAGGAGCCCTGGGTCCTGCACCTCGTCAACCAATCGCATCGATCCCAGCGTCCTGTCGGACCCCGCCCATGTGTCGCACCCGTCCTCCATACTGGCCACCGTCTTCTGGGTGGCCGTCTCACTCATGGAGTCGGACTTTGAATTCGAGTACCAGATGTCGCTACGCCTCGTGCACAAGCTCCTGTCCAAGGTACGACAATTAATCAAGCAGTCACATATCAGGAGAGTAATTACACTGTAGAATATTTCGGGGTTTAAAATATAATTAAAATTAAATATGACATATTAAAATTATGTCAGCAGAAGACTTTTTTATCACTTCTTTTTTTTTTTCTTTTAAATTGAAGTGCAACATCACAGAGGGTCAAAAAGGCTTGTTTGGTTTTGATGCTTATAAACAGGGCCGTTAAGAAACTTAAACAAAAAAAGGGCTCTTCAAATGGCTTCTGAATCGATAAAAACCTGAACACAGACAGATTTCAGACTTTCTCCTTTTTTTGGTTCATCTTGACCCACTTTGCCAGGTGCCTTTGGACCGGGCGGAGAACCGCGAGCGTTTGGAGAAGCTCCAGGCTCAGCTGAGGTGGAGCGGCTTCTCTGGCATCCAGCAACTTCTACTGAAGGGCTTCACCTCCCAGGCCACCTCCGACCTCACCCTGCAGCTCTTCTGCCAGCTCACGCCCGTGTCCCGCGTACCCGTGGTGGACAGCTCGCAGTCTTTGGGTAGGACTAAGTCCCATAACCTCACAGTCTTTCCTCATGATGGCCCTAACCAGCGCTCGCTCTGCAGGTTTCCCACTCAACGTACTGTGTCTGCTACCACACCTGGTGCAGCACTTTGGGCACCCCACGCAGTTCTGTAAGGAGAGTGCAGAGAGGATCGCACAGGTGAAGTACACAATAAAAATGTCTTTTTATCTTTAGTCACCATATAAACTGATTCTTAGTTCATTTAAAAAATAAGTTTCGATGTCATTTTTCAGCAAAGGAAGTTGTGACATTTCGAGATTCAAGTCTGATTTTCATTGAATGAACATTATCTCTGGTCGTTGCTTCTTTTGTCAGGTGTGTTTGGTGGAGAAGAACACCAAGCTGTCCCACCTGGCCCACGTGATGACACTGTACAAGACGCGCTCGTACACGCGGGACCCTTTCTCCTGGGTCAGCGTGGTGTGCCGCTACCTTCACGAGGCCTTTTCCGACATCACGCTCAACATGGTTACCTACATGGCGGAGGTGCGGGCTCCTGTTTTTATACGTGCTGCCGACCAATGACAGAGTAGTAATGTAACAATCGTGTGTCGGGCAGCTGCTGGATAAAGGCCTTCCCAGCATGCAACAGTCCCTCCTGCAGATCATCTACTGCCTGCTCAGCCACATGGACCTGAGCGCCGTGCACGTCAAGCAGTTCAACGCTGACGTCACCAAGACCATCGAAAAGTTTGTACAAGTGAGTGTTCTAAATTTTTTGGTTTAAAATTGAATTGATGATGGAAAAAATACGAAGAAGAGATGAGAATAAAGAAAATTTAATATTGCTTATTTTCTGGATTACTGAACCTTTTAACTCATCTGGCTGTTTGCAAATAATAAAATCATTTAAAGATGACAAGAAGAGCAAAACTGTGGCTTGCAGAACATGTTTTAACCCATTTTTATTTTATTTTTTTTCTTCTATATTTTTCAATTTTATAATAGGTCAAATTGACCAGCAACTTAACAGGAGAATTATTACACCGTGTGTGGAGGTTTACAAATCAAAAAATAATTTTAGACCATCATAAAAAGAAGTAAAGAAGAAAAACAAAGCCTGTGTGTCTCCGCAGACGGTGCATTGGAAAGACGCCCTGAACATCCTGAAGCTGGTGGTGTCGCGCTCGGCCAGCCTTGTGCACCCAGTGTATGGTCAGGCTCACGGCGACATCTCCAACCTGGAGGTGAGCCGAGTGTGGGATGGCTCGGCCAAGGCACTGCCCGGGAAAACCCTGGACTTCACCTTTGATATTTCCGAGGTGAGACAGGAAGTACGGCTGATATTTTATTTTGGGGCCATGTCGCTGGCCCGAGTAGTACGTACATGCTTCTTTTCCTCGCAGACGCCGGTCATCGGGCGGCGCTTTGATGCGCTACAGGGCTCTGCCGTCAGGGAGGGCAAGGCCCGAGCCATGGCTGTTACCCGCAGTACCTCCTCCACCTCATCGGGATCCAACTCCAACACCATCCTGGTTCCCGTCAGCTGGAGGCAACCGCAGTCTTCTCAGGTAGTGCAATGTGTAGTCGAGAAGAAAGTCAATCACAAGTCAAGGGTAATTTGCAAGTCTTTTTTTCAAGAGTATAGTTGTATTTATCGACACAAAAGTCGGGATTTTTTTTTCAAGAATTACATTGAATTTTTCAAAAGTAAAAAAAGAAAGAAATTGTTTTAAAAATTAATGAGTATTTTTTTTTTTCAAGAGAAAATCTTTTTTTTCCTCAATAAAGATGTCATACCTCTATCGGGAGTTGAAATTTATTTTGTTTTTAAAAAGTCTTGTAGTGTTTTAAAAAAGTCAGGTTTACCAATAATATATCTATTTTTTAAATAAATAAAGGACAATGTCATAATTTTTCAGAAAAAAAACAGGTTTTGATCTCACTGTGATGTCACACTTGGAAGAAACATTTTTAGAAGTGTCAACTCGGTAATGATTGATTTTCTTGTTTAAATTGGTGATTTTTTCCATCTTTCTGTATTTGCTTATGCACCCTTTGTGAATGCTTGACTGTTATGTTTTTGTTTCCATCCCTCCTTTAGAAGCGGACCCGAGAAAAGCTGGTAAATGTTCTTTCTCTGTGTGGTCAAGAAGTTGGACTAACAAAGAACCCATCGGTAAGATGCTTCACATTCCTCTGAAAGAACAGATGAGACCATGGACATTTCTGTGAGTGAAATCTCTTTTTTTTTTTCTTTTTTTTTCTTTTTGCTGTTGTCACCAGGTGATCTTCTCATCCTGTGGCGACCTGGACATGATGATGGAAGTGCGCGAGAGCGGCGTGTCGTCGGAGGAGGGCGGCACCAGGGAGGACACGCTGGACGACACTGCCAGCGAGCAGCAATTCAGGGTTTTCAGAGACTTTGACTTCCTGGATGTGGAGCTGGAAGACGGAGAGGTGAGGCCAGCCCGTCAGCTTTGGTCCATGCTAACCTCTGTCATTTTCTCATCAAGTTCACTCTATTAAGAAAGTGATGTATTTTTTCAAGAAAAAAAAATAATCATGCACAAATGTCCAATATCCCAAGAGTAAATTGTTTTCGAGGAAAAAAAAACGTTTTTTTAGTCATCACCACGTGACCTCAGTGTTACCCGGGTCATGATACTGATTTGTACTTTCTATTATTTATCATGTTTTTATTTGGACACCCCTTGTTCAAGTGTTTTACAACATAAATACTGTTTTTTTTTCCTGCATATGTTAGAGATGTTTGTGTATGTGTGTTTGTATGTGTGTCTCTCTCTCTCTGTCTAACTGAGTGTCTCTCTTTTTCCCCCGTGCTGAACCAGGAGCTCCAGGTAAGTTTTCCTTGCATTCAGCATCCGCATTAGCTTTTCATCTCACAGCTGTGGTGGTCTTTCTGTCTCCTTTGCCAGTGTGGTTGTTGTTCAGAGGTGTGGGACGTGCGTCGCATTATTCTGAAACTTCCGAAACCTCGACTTGAACTGCAATACAGTAATCTCACAGGAGTGAATACACCCTTACCGTATTTGGAAACTTTTGATTCAATCTCTTCATGGGGCAATACGGGAGAAATGACTACAGTGTAGTCAGTGGACACCTTGTATGCCAGTGTAAATTTACCATCACCTCCAAGTACTACATACTGTACTACTTTTAATAATTGTCGAAAGCGTTGAAGAAGAAAAGTGAGTACACCCCTGAGTGAAACTGTCAAAATTGGGCCAAATTGTCCACGTTCCTTCTCTGTGTCCCATGTGACTCGTTCGGATTCTAAGGCTGGAGACTTGCTTATGACTCGCTCATTTGTGACTTGCTCCCACCTTCGTCAATGTTGTCGCTTGGCGGTTGAACAAACCAGCGTGCCGGCATCGTGAACACAAATCTGAAAAAACGCTTCTCATCCGGCGCACATTAAACGTGACACATTGCCGTCTACTCGGAAAATTCACCGCCATCACCGCTCCCTTCTTTCCCCCTCCCCTCCCTGCCGGCTGCTGTTTTTGTGTGCGTTCCCTCCAGGGCGAAACAGTGGACAACTTTAACTGGGGCGTGCGGCGCCGATCCCTGGACAGCACCGAGCTGGGTGACCTGCTGGAGGAGAGCCAGCACTCAGGCAGCACGCCCAGCTTGGGACACGAAGACCCTCACGATTCTGAGGAGTCCTCTGAGGAAGAGGAGTCCTCCACCAGTCAGAGCCTGTCACATTCCCAGCTGGTGTGTAGGACTCGTTACCATAATATCACACTCTATCATTTAAGACACATTACAGAATGAATAGAAATCGTCGCCGTGTTTCTTCTCTGACACTGTCGGTTTTCCCTTCCAGACGAATCCATCCCCATCGGATGAGACCAACCACACGGATTCTCTCTCCACATCGTACGACACGTCTGCCGACCCGCAGTCCTTCGGCGCCACCACCCCGGGCCAGGGGGCGCTGCTCCATGACCACCTCAGCGGCCTACACGTAGGAATCCGCGCAAACGCATGCACTGCAGGGGTTCTCAAACTTTTGAGAAGTTTCTTTGTATACGCTGATGGTGCGTTCGTGTCATGGGCAGGCGAGGGTGTGTGGCGAGGACGAGGACACTCAGGCTCAAGACGACGAGCTGTCTCTGAGCACCAACGAGCTTGCCGCTGGCTCGGACTGCGGCGAGAGTTTCACGCTGGAGCTGCCGGGGCAAGCGCAGGTCCGAACGCCACATCTGGACCGTCGGCACGACTATTCCCAACCGCCGCTGGACTTTCTAGACCCGAACAGTCTGCCCAGGTGAAGATGATGTTATGTTGCAAGTTTAAACGAAACTTGTTGACATTCTTTATTTTGCTGCATTATTTTTTTTTGCATTTGACCCCTTTATTAAAAATTACGGGAACAAAAAAATATGTAAAACACAAGTAGGATAAAATCTCACCACGGCAACAGATTACGTGACGACGTGGATGACCTGGAGGACCTGGGATTCCCGCCTCCGCCGTCTCCGTTTTTCTCCGCCATCTTGGCCGCGTTCCAGCCGGCGGTGTGCGACGACGCCGAGGAGGCGTGGCGTTGTCACGTCAACCAGTTGGTGACCGACTCAGACGGCTCGTGCGCCGTCTACACCTTCCAGATCTTCTCGTCGCTCTTCAGGGTGAGACCTCCGGAATGTTTCCAAGGTTTTTCCTGGCTCAAATTTGGTACTATTAAAAAAAAAACATGTTCCCGGTCTGCTTTTCGGGTCTTTGCCACCATTTGAGGTTCACCTGACCTCTTGTTTTCAGAACCTCCAAGGAAAGTTCTGCACCTTGACCACCGATGCGGCCTCCTATCTGGGCGAGGGCCTGAGGGGGATCGGCTCCAAGTTCCTCAAGTCCTCTCAAATGCTGACGACCTGCTCCGACTGCCCAACCATATATATCGATGCCGACACCGTGAGTTCAACGCAAGCGAGTGACCCATCGGCTCGGTTGTGGACTCGAGCCTTACCTCTGCTTTTTAGATCATGTCTTACGGCCTCCTGGAGAAGATGAAGTTCAGCGCGTTGGAGCTGCAGGAATACCTGGACACTTACAACACAAGGGAGGATGCGGCTGTCACGGTAAAAATCGCAAAGAACTTTAGGGAGTAGCATTGTGTTTGGACCTTGGGAAGTGTTGTTGAAATGTCCGAAAAAAGACCTCATACTTATGAGAGGTCCAGAAACCTCTTGAGCAGGTGCAGAACACATCTAATTTCAACCTTTTAGTCCTGGGAACTACGACCTGAAAGTACCAAGAACTAAAAGTTCCTGGAAAGGAAAGTGCCACAAATGCTTTCAAGAACTCAAAATTCACTGAACTGCAAGTACCGAGAATGAGAAGTGCTAAGTCAAAACATGGTTGGTGTACCGATTGTTAAATGTGATGTAAATATGCAAGTCCCTGTGGTTTGCTGTGTCCTTCAGTGGCTGCGCAGCTGTAAGGACACATTTCCCAGGTGCCCTGGCGAAAGCGTGGTCACCTGCCAGCCTGGAGACTCGGAGGAGAAAGTAGGGAACTCTTACTTGAGTACTTTCTGTTCCTGTTTCCTGTTTGCGGTTGGCTTTATTCAGTGACTTTAAAAGACATATTCTGCATTTTATTTGTCATAATTTAAGAGTTCCCACAGGCGTTTTAATCGTGCCTGTTCATCAAAGGATCAAGAATTCTGAACATATTTTTAGTTGCATGATCACATGCTGCATTTTGAATCACTCGGCCACCAAATTACCACACAAATGTAGTGATGTGATACATGACATATTCAAACGCAAATAATCCCCACCTCCTCGTTGACGACCGAACATTATTATTATTTGGCAGGAGCTAATGCTAGTCGGTGCTAACGCTGCAGCGCTGGTTACCTTTTGGCTTTGTCAATAATAGTAATTTCGTACATCCTCGCTGCCAAGTCATTGCTTGAGAAACTCTGTGTGGGGCGAAGTCATACAAATACGCCTTACTGTGATGTTAGTGTCAAAATAATGCATAATATGTCTCTTTTAAGAGCTCAACAACAAAGTTGGCATCATAGATGCCGACCGTGTAAGTTGGCATGTGTCTGACTGATGCTATTTTCTTCCTCTAACACGCCCTCACGCTCTAGCAAATGGAGTCTCTGGCCGTAAGTTCTTCTTCTCTTTGCTCCCGCCTAATAAAAATGCTAATTAGTTCTGCACGCACGCCGCAATCACGTCTTGATGCCGCCGCTGCCACTGTCGTCGTCGTCGTGGTGTCCGTCAAGCCCTGGCTGATGTTCTTCTACATTTTGGCAGCAACTGGAGCTGTGCCAGAGGCTTTACAAGCTGCACTTCCAGCTCCTGCTGCTCTTCCAGTCCTACTGCTCACTCATCGGTCAGGTTCACGCCATCAGCTCCGTACCCGAGGTGAGCATTTCAACTACGAGAAACTCGAAGAGCAAATTTTTCGGAAATCTAGAGGAAGTGAAAATAATTCACATTCCTGTGTCAGTTTCCAAAAACTATAAATATGCCTATATTCTGTAAAGTGTTTTGTTACAACTGCAGCTGTTGTGAAAGCGCTATATCATTAAAATATGTATTGTATTATGTTTCCATCGTTGTTCTTTTAGCTGCTGAACATGTCTCGGGAGCTGAGCGAACTTCGCGGCAGCCTGCAGGCGGCGGAGGCGGCAGTGGCCAGGGACCTGGAGCACGAGCACTCGGCCCACTCGGTCCACACCCACGCCGCCCACATGGCCGCCATGGTGGTGCCCAGCTTCCCATCGTCAGAGGCGGCAGTCAAGGCCATTCTGGACTGTCTGAAGAACCACGAGTTCACCAAGGCCGTCCGCTACATTCAAGAGTGCAGGTATACAAAAGGGAGGGAGTATTAAATAGGATGCCACTGTACAAAAGCTACATCGGAGATCTGAATTAATTCCAGGCGTCGATGGCCTCACGGCGTGTTTGGCGGCGGCTCCGAGAAGGAGGTCCAGACTCTGCTCAACGTGTACTTCCGGCACCAGACTTTGGGCCAGACGGGCACCATCGCCCTGGTAGGCTCCCGTCAGGACCTGGGCCTGATCTGCTCCAAACTGCTGGAGCTCAACGGCGAGATTCGCGACATGATCCGCCGCGCTCAGGGCTACCGCGTGGTCACCACCTACCTCCCCGACTCCAGCGCCTCCGGGACCAGCCTCTGACAGTAGCACCCCGGGAGGACCCTGGGGCGGCGTACCGAGGAGCCGCCTCCCGTATGCCTCCGAACGACGGTTCCACCCACCTTCCCCAACCGCTTCTTGACTTTCCTCCCCTTGTTCATTTTTCGGGACTGGGGCGGCATTTGGATGCCTTCGGAGGACATCCACCACCTGGTACCCACGGCAACAAACGGGACGCCCTGCCAACTGTAGCCGCGCAACCATATCTGCTGACTTACTCCAACGTGCCACCCGATGCCCCTCAGCGCCAGCACCTCCCTCGGCCGCCTCCTCCATATCCACACCATGTCATCACTCGCCCTCCCATCCCAGCCTTTCAGCCTCTCGCTTCACCCCTCCCTGAGGGTTCGGGTGAGGCAGCATCATGGGCTTGTTGCTGCCCCCTCGTGACCTCTGGCACACCCTTGTCTCGCTACCTGGGCAAAGTGGGGCATACCACCCTCCCCCTCCTGAAAGCTGGGGGCTTCCTGAACACCGAACCTCCCGACGTCCAGACCTGAATTTCCCAACAGCTTAATGTTGTACTAGTCAGCCAAAAGTGGCACTAATAGAGAAAAAAAAAAACGTTACGAGTAAGGCAAAGTGATTCTCATAGTGCACTGAATTTTCTTACTAGTGGGGACAAATAGTGTACTAGTACATGGACCTTAAACTGGATCTCAAGGAAATCAAATAAATGCACAAATAACTCCCGCCCGGTCACGCCCTCATTACCCATGTCCCTCTTCTTCCATCCCCTGACCTCAACTCACCGGCACCCCTGTCTCCCTACCTGGGCATGGTGGGGTACGCTGCCCAGAAAACCTACCGCTCCACCCCCGACATTCAGACCTGACACGAGCGCTATAACTGGGATGCCAAGATGACAACGACTGATTTGTGTGAGGAAGACGGACCCACTTCCTGCAATGCCCCATCGTCCCGGAATTGTCCCTATTGCACTAAACGGATCTACAGGAGGAAGTGTTACTTACTGTAAGAGACGCCAAATGCTGGAATAACTTGAACCGAGATGACTGAAACATCAAGGACACGTCGGCTGTCTTTCCGCGTCACCGCCGCTAACGGCGTACGCCTCTGTGACTCCGTAGCACCTTGGCACTGTCACACCCCCTCAGTGACACTTCCGTATTTCGCCTGGATGTTAAAACCGTAGCAATTTGTTTGTGTGTGTCTGTATATATATATATAAGAAAGTAAGTGTGCGAGTGTATGAGAGCGTAGGTAAGTGTGTGCGTGCTGACATTCAGCACCGACAAAAAGTATGCGACTACTAATCACTCCCCGCCCCTCATCAGTCATGTGACCTGCATGCGTACTATAGGGAGTGTCTCAAATATTTATTGATAAATCTGAAAGATGGTACATTTGTCTGCGCTACTGAAGGAGCTTCAAGCTCACTCGGGTATGTTTTCTTGGTGTGTGTGTGCGAGAGTGAAGGTGCGTGCATGCCGATGAACGAGAAATTGCACATTTTTTCAAAAGAGAAAAAAAAAAGAAAAAAGCTTTTTAGATTGAAACTGTAGTTGTTTTTATCCACCTTGTAAATACTTTTACAGCCTTTGTGTGACGTCCTTTTCAGTTCTGTCCAATTTGGTGTTTAAAGTAAAAGTTGAAACAAACCTTCCATTTTCGACGACGCTTAGCCTCATTCGGGTCGCAGGCCTCAGCTAATTTAACAAGCCCTGGGTCAAATTGACCCAGGAACTTTTTTCCTCTTCCTGGGAAACCAACGGAACAGAAGAGTTTAAAAAATGCTGAACAATACATCTTCGGATGGTACGTTACCATTTCTGTTGGGTCATGGGTCAAATTGACCAAAACGGTATTTGCGGAGTGGCTTTAATGAAACCAACCAACGATATTGAGTTGGTCAGGCATGTAATTAACTAGTTTCTTACACTGCAGGGTAGTCAAAACATGCCGAGGGTCAAATTGACTCAGTAAGTAAGACAGAAGTTTAAATTGTGGGGAAGGATTCTTAGTCCACACTTGAGATGCACTTATAGTTTATTCCTTAGAAAAATGACATGGGGAGGGAGGCATGGAGTGCCATTGACATCGCGGTCACAGCATCAGACAATGTATTTGAAGCTGTAGGTGGCGTCGCAGGAGAGCTTCATGCCCCGGCATCGGCAGCACAGATCCTGGCGGTGAGGCCTGGTCATGTTGATGTGCCTCTGCTTCTTCTCGCAGCTGCAGCACGTCTCGGAGCAGCCCTGAAACGCGACACGGAGAAGACGTGTAGTATTTCTTCTATCCGCTTTCAATTGTCAATCAGAAAATGTCAAATGAAAAAAAAAGTTTGCTTTTTGAGATTTAATTGGAGGAGTGAGTATGCAAGTGAGTGAAATGCGGCTCTTCCTACCTTGCATATGATGGACTCCACTCTGTAGGGGTTGAAGCCCACCTGACACTTCCGGCAGAGCTGCTTGTAGTATACCTGTGGAGACATGTCACAATATAAATACATGAACAGTAGAATTAACCAATCGCATTCAAATTCGAACCCAATATTGGTTGCCAGTAGTTTCAAGGGTGATTTTTCTTGATCTTTTTTTTTTAACTGCATATCACAAGAACCTTGCATTTGAACAGGGGTGTGTAGACTTTTAATGTCCACTGTAGGTGAATTAACCTTGTTGGTTCCCGAGATGCACCACACGTAAGCACTCTCCCACCGGATGTTACACTTTTTGCAGTGGAAGAAGCCGTACCTCTGCTCCAGGAACTACACGGCACAGAGACACACATTCACATCAAGTCCCGTACAAGCTTCTAAAATGTCAATGGGTCGATGTGACCCGCTGAATATTTAACAGTCACAAAAATTATAATCCTACAAATTGGGGTTTAGTATGTCATATGAATTTGAATGTAATTTTTACTCACATATATATTTCTTTAACACTCAGGTTATATTATAGGTCAAATTGTCCTGTAAGAAATATGTATGTGGTCTTCAAAATATATACTTGCATGCATCCTTAAAACTGCTGAGTCAAAAAAATGGCAAGTCAGTCCAATTTTTTTCAAACAAAATTGGATTATTTTAACCCAGCAGTTTGAAGAGTGTACATATTCCATTCAAACTCTTATTTTATGAATCGAATTGACCCAAACGTTATGACACTTCCTTTGGTTCTTTGTTATTTTTGTTTCTTTATTTTAGATCGACAGAATGTCTTGAATAACTACATCTTCATGGGTTACACTGGCACACTGATATTAAATGGAATTTTTGGAGAAGGTTGATGAGGCCCACCTGTAAATTGGATCCCCTGCCGGGACGATGTACGGGGCCCTTGATGACTTCATCCGGATGTTTTCCCCTCTCCTCCCCCTCTTCTTCCTCGTCACGGACTTCCGGCTCTCCCTCGTCTTGCTTGACCGTAATGCCGCGCTCGAACACGGGCGAGTAGATAGACACCGGCCGGGTGAAGAAGCGCAGCTGGCTCACCGGAGGCGTGCGGGGCGCTTGACCGCAGCCGCCGTCCTCTCCGTCCTCCTCTTTTTCCCCCTCCCCCGCGGGCTGCAGGTCATCGGCCTCCCCCTGGCCGAGCAGCGTCTTGGGCCCCAAGGAGCATTGCACCGTTTTGTCCACTTTGGCGTTCACTTGCACGCCGCACTCCCGGGTTCGGGCGCCGGGGGGCGGCCCCGACTGAGCCAGGATGGCCTTGCAAAGCTCCAGGTAGTTGAGGCCGTGTGGCGTTACGAAGCGTGCCTCCCGCTTGGCCCAGCAAACGCCCCCCGGGGCCGGGCTGGCAGCGGGGGTGCACACCACGCTGTAGGGCGGAGGGAAGGTGGACGGGAAGCCCTCCATCCTGGAGCCAGAGAGTGAAACCGGGGCCGCGCGCGCCCGCTCGGGTTTATACCACGTGATTGGACTGAGAGGACGCCAATTAGCTGATTGGCAACAGGGCCAGGGTTCAAAAGTTCTTTTCGGTGGAATGGATGACAATTCGTTTTTATAAACCCGTGATTCTCACGCGAGAGTCATTTATTTAAATGCTCAAACTGTGCGTAGATTATGTGTCTTATTTTTATCCAGTAGGCTACAGTCCAGTTATACAATACCATATTGTTAAATGCCGTTCAGTTGTATTTAAAATGTAAAAGCTGTAAACTGTTTGTTGATAAATATAAATAATTATTTATTTATTTATTTAACATCCCTGACAGCAAATACGTCATATGAATATTTTGAAATGATATTAAAATTTCAATTACTGTATATATGTGTCATCTATCTTCGTGTTCTCTGCAGTGCAGCGCATGGACTCCTCAAAATGTTGTGTTGGAGCGCCCTCTATCAGGTTACCGCGTTTGGCCGGGAACAAAGACAGCTATTCAAAATTCAGGCTCTGCATGGACTACAGTATTCATGAATGTACCTGAACGATTGTGTACGCGCAATTGAGAGAGGTACTGCAATTTTGACGTCAAATTGGGCCCGAGTTGAGAACGAATCATCCATTTGAAATTACGTTGGGTGTTGCGTTCATGTGCCGTGGGAAATTTGTGGAACGGTATGAAAATGAAGCAATATTCCTACTGTAAATACAACTGCATCTTAATAGTACACAATCAACCCAAATGAACTACTATTTGCAGTGGTTACAGTGTGGCGGGACAAAATATGCACTACTACTGTACATGGGTTTTGAACTTTCATTATACACATGCAGTATATATTAATCATTCAAACTTGGCAGGGTTGTGAACAACACTCTTCTATATGGTGGGTAACATTAACAAAACGTTTATTTTCACTTAACAGGAACTTTGAAACCCATTCACTCCAATCCTCACAATTATAATGCAAATCTGGCAGCGAATCGGGTTTTACAGTCTATTACAAGTTTGCTTTCAGTGGTAGTTATTTGATGTTCATTTAATATATGTCATTTGTTTATTAAAATATATCCATCGTCTTGTTTTTATTTTCTTTTAATTGCGGTTCGGATAATGAATGGATCGAGGTGATTGTCAAGCATTTGGGGAACCCTCCGTGGTGCAGAAACGCCCCTGCCATCGCGCACGGCTCTAATAGCGAGAATCGCCGGAGCGCCTGTGGGGGCGCTGCTCGCCCAGCCGGCGATGCGGTGCGGTGAGCGTTCATATTGGCGCCATTTTGGAGCCAGGAGGGGGGAAGAGCGCTGCAGAGGAGGACGGCGACCGCGCACAATTCCACACAAACAGGTAGCGAAACGCCACCATAATCGTCCGCATTTCACTCCAATAAATAAGTGCAGTGGAGGCACTGTGGCCGGACGCCAGGCAGGAGGAAAACCCAGGGTAGGTGGGCGAGACCTCGGCTGAGACGCCCCACTTTCCGTGGTTGTGAGCCGGAGCGCAGCCCGCCTGGCTTGGCTGCCGTGTCCGAACCTTCGCGCCTGTGGCTCGTCTGAGCGTGGTGGTCCTCAGTTTGAATAAATGTTAGACCGTCGTGTGCGAGTACCACCGAGTCTTCCGGGTGGTGAAACGGCGGCCGTCTTGTGGTGTTTTGGCGAGGAGGTAGCGGCTACCCGCGGGGGTGTTTTTGTTAGTGGCCGTCCGTCCGCCCTCTCTGTCATCACGGAGCTTGGCGCCGCTAGCCGCGTTAGCTCCTCGGCTAGCGACGGCAAGCTAGCTGGATTAGCTCCCCTAGGCTACTCGAATCCTCGCGTA